TGTGTTTGCTGGGTTTAAACTTCTCACTGTGAAGTTACTGAGGAGAGGAGCTTACAAATAGTGCTCCCCCGACTAGACAGTCTGTACTGCCACTGTTTCTCTCTGGTCCCTGTTAAAGAAAAGCATCAGGACACAAACAAAACAATCAAACACTGGTCAGGTTGATGTGGCCGGTGACTGCTCATCAGAAATATAGAGCTCCAGAGCCAGGGCTACCTGGAGAAAGGTACAGGGAGAGAGAGAGAGAGGACACACTACACACTACAGGAGAGAGAGAGGACACACTACGGGAGAGAGGAGACACACTACGGGAGAGAGAGAGAGGACGCATTACGGGAGAGAGGAGACACACTACAGGAGAGTGACAGGACACATTACGGGAGAGAGAGAGACACTATGGGAGAGAGGGACACACTACGGGAGAGAGAGAGAGGACACATTATGGGAGAGAGAGAGAACACACTATGGGAGACAGAGGACACATTACGGGAGAGAGAGAGGACACACTACGGGATAGAGAGAGAGAGGACACAGTAAGGAAGGGAGAGAGGAGCCATTACGGGAGAGAGAGAGAGAGAGAGAGGACATACTATGGGAGAGAGAGGGACACACTACGGAAGAGAGAGAGAGAGAGGACACACTACTCAGGGAGGCCAGGAGGGACATGTCTTCCACCTCCGGACCAGGTCACCACCCACGGCTTCGCAGACACCTGAGGGCCCAGGAGGGAGTGTAAGGTGTACAATGGCTTATTTGAAGGTGAACATGACACTTTGACAGAGCTAAAGAATGTCACAAACGTTATAAAGATGCTGCTGTTGCAGAGTGGACAGTGAACAATGCAATGTTATTAGATTCAGGCAAAATCACAAGAGAGTCTTGATAAGGGTGTTGTGGATATTGTGTTAAGCACTTTGGTCAGCTTCGGCTGTGTTAAATGTGCTATATAAATAAAGTTGATGATGATGATGATGATGATAATCCACCTGGTAAATAAATAGTTTCTGCTATTGGCTCACGAACAGAAAATATTTCCAGTTGACTGTTTAGTAAAACCTTTAGTCACATATTTATCATCATGCACAACTCATTGATTTACTGCTGTGTTATCTGAGATGTAGTAACTCATTCCCACCCTTTGCCCTGTTATTGGACTGTCAGTGCAGGTCTCCTGCTTCACAAACTGTTAGTGGTAAAAATGGAAATGCAACAAACACCTATGTGATCTCAGAGTGGTTGCTAGGCAACATACATCCTGACCGGATAACAGAGGACACAGTGGATAGGGATTAAAACTAGTGGAGTCTGACTTTAACTGTGTGTGGACTAATGAGGTAAAGTTTTCTTTTACAGATGTTTACAAACACATGGTCATCAAGAAGCAGTGTGACTAGTTCAGCAGAGACTTGATCCTGGTCAGGAGGCAGATAAGTTAAGTGATGCATCATGCTTGTACTGACTGACTGGCTCCAGCCTGTCACAGTATGCTTTACCATGATTGGCCAGTGCCACCCGTTCACGTTCACTCGGGTGTAAATCATAGATGTGACAGCCTAATGATCACACTCATGTTGATGCTGCTGACGCTCCCTCCACCGCCCCAACTTCATTTTCTTCTTTTCACCTAAGAAACCTGCCAGACCTGAACTTTGCCCAGGTGTGGCCAAATGTTTGCACACATCTGCACATAATCAATCAGTGATCGAACATAAACTTTATTGCCAACCATGTTAAAATACAGGGAATTTGACTCCAGCTCAGCGGCCCCTGATGTTCAACAAATAAAACAGATTAACAACAAAATCACAAGTAAAAAACAAGAAACATGAAACCAATGCTGAGCTGAAACATCTGTGCCGGTGTGAGACACTTTGAACAAAAAAAAGTGGGTGTGTGAACGCTGTTGGCCCAGGGAAACACAAGTCCTGCCACAGGTAGCATTGGGCTCTCCAGCCATAATCACACTGTTGCACAGATTGTGGGAAGAGACTTTTCCACAAATGTTTTTAGTAAACTAATCTGGGTTTTGCCTAGCTGTCTAATATCAGTGTTGTGTGATTGTTGAATCTGTGATTCATGGCTTTATGGTCCTGGACTCGAGTTTACATGGTTTGGTTGCAGCTGCTTCTCTTTGTCTCAGGTGGTCATAAATGGTCTGGCCTATTGTAGAGCGAGGTAGCTGAGAAATTAAGAAGATGAATTAATGACTGAAAATCATTGTTGTTGCAGCCTGGTTTATATTTTTGTTCACTGCAGGAGCACATGCTCAGACCTCACACACCCGTGTTTGTGCCAGGAAACAGTTGATGGACCATGTCATGGAGGTTCATTGAGTATTCGTGTCATGTGTCCGTCTGAAACATGTAGTGACGCCACTGCGCATCACGCTGAGAGCAGAGCTGCTGCTGAGGAGGAAATATAGGACAGCAGGAGGAGGAGGAGGTCTGCAGTCAAGTCAGTCAGCACTGGAGTCACACAGAGCCGCAGCACCATCAGGAAACTGCACCGTCTGCGTCTCAGCGTCAGGTAGTATTTATTCTCTGTGTGCATTCATTGTCTGAATGTCTGCAGCAGTGATGGAAGACAGACAGCACAACAACATGATCTGTGAGCTACTGCTGCATCAGAGGCAAGGCACAAAGGACGATTATCGTGAGACAGAGAGATGTTGGAGCCTACACACTGATATCAGCAGCTGATTTTAGAACAAAGGAATAGTTCAAACTCTTTTCTGCCATTTATTCTTGCTGGGGTATGTTTTTCTGATCCACTTGTAGGGTCTGAGGACAGAGGGTGTCCCTTGATGCAAATTTGTGATATTGGGCTGTAGAAATAAATTTGACTCGACTTGAATTGGCAGCTATATTAGCGGTGTGGCTGTGGGGATGACAGTATCAGTGGGTCCACACCTAAATGTCTCAACAGATATTCATGGTGCCCAGAGGATGATACCTGATGAGTTTAGTAATGCTCTGACTGCCCGTCTAGTGCCACCAGGACCAACATGGAGCATTTAATATGATCAGTGCTTTGATCAATGACCAAATACCTCAGACCCAGCGCTGAACCTGACGCTAACAAATTTCACTATTAAGTTGTAATGAAATTTCACAGTTGCTTTCGTGTTTTTAATGCTCTTTGTCACTTTTTGCCTCCATACTTTTTCTGCAGTTTGAAGCAAGAACTTGACCCATTAGCGTTAACTTTCTTTATTTAAACTCATCGTATCAACCTGAGTGCATGAGCCAGTGTCAGCCTGTCAAGCTCTAGTATCGACCTGTGTGATCCAGTATTGGTGGAGCCGTGGTACTGTCGCAGTTCTCTCTCTGACCCCCCCCCATTTCCCTCCAGGAGGATGAAGGGGCTGCAGTGGCTCACTCTGCCAGGAGCGTGAGGAGGCTTCCTGGGCTCTGTCTGCCTCATCCTCCCCCCTCCTCACCCACCTGTGTGGAGCTTTACCTCACTACCTCCAGCAGCTGAAAGCATGGACGGACTCCGGCTGCCCCCCGTCATTGAGGAGGTGCTCGATCCATCCGGTGAGTCTGAGAGTTCACATGCAGCCTCATGGAGGGTCATCTGTTTGAATACTTGGCGGTTTTACTGAGTGGTTAGTTTGTAGCTGAATGTCAAACGTCACATCTGATCACACAAACAAATCTGCTATTGATGTCAAAGAACTGGTGCAGTCTGTAGAAACAAACAGCGACTAAGGAAGAAATACATACATCACCTGAAGAAAGTCTCACTCAGCAGCTGAGCTTCTGTTTTTAATAGAAACTGATTCTTTCTGATTGAATTCTATTCTGCTGGTGTTAAACTCCTGAAAATTCAGCTCAACACTTCCTGTTTCACAATAAAAGCCTTCCAGGGAATTGAGGGGATGGGACGAGATGCAGAAAGGTAGCTGTGCTCACATCCTGTCTGGTGCAGGGAAACTAGTGAATTTAAACTCCTCACACTTTAGTGGACTGAGAACGCGTCAATTAGAGCTGAAACCACGGTGTCGACAGAACATCAGTCATTCGTAGATATTTAATTTAAATGTATTCTGGACATCAGAGAGAACGATATCCTCAGGAAATGGAAGTCACAGCGAATCAGACCAACATGTGTTTCAGGTCTGTGTGTTCACATTTCACTGAGTTAGGACTGTGAGACCAGCTGAGGTTTTACCAATGAACTGACAGTCAATGGGGTCTCTGAGTGAAATGATCTGTGGTGTAGCTTTCAGTGCTGCTCTCCAAGTTAATGATCCTAGAATCAGGAGAAATGCTTGCAGACATTTTGCATCGATCCACTCATCTCCACTTTCAGCAATAATCTGGTGCCAACAGGAGATGACAGTATTCTGGGGTGTAGTGGGCTGTGGTGTCCAGTAAGCAGCATTAGTGTGGTGGCTGGTGCAGGTGGCTAGAAGATGGATGTGGGGAGGAACTATTTTTAGACTCAGCAGGTGAAGAGAGATGGGAGGGATGATGTTTCATCAGTCTGTCCCCATCACCCTGTGACTGTCAGCTGGAAACGGAAAGAACAATGAGCTTTACTTTCAGAATCATGTTAAGTGATGAACGTGAGAGTCAGCACCAACTCTTTTTACAGTTTCTGACTTTAATGCTGCAGCTGGTAAAGGTGGAGCTGATGGTAACTACCTTATATACTTATACTGTGAAGTACTTTACATCCTGCTGGGTAGCTGGTGGATTTCCCACTGGGATCAATAGAGTCTGATGGTTTGACTGCATTTGGTTTGAGTCATCTAATTCTGGAAAGCAACTGAAGGTATCAGGTACATGTAGTGCAGTAAAAAGTACACGCTTTGTCTCTGACATGAAGTGAAGTCACAGTATGAAGGAGCAGGACATGGAAATACTAAGGTAAAGTACAAATACCTCAGATGTACTTCACCACAGTACTAGAGTAAATGTACTCAGCACCTTTCCACCACTGTACAGAACAACAACACAGCTGTGCACCTTCATGTAGTAGCCGGTGACAAGTGAACCTTCTGGCTTCATCAAGGTGAAACATGCAGCTTGTGCTGGTCAAGCTGCAGATCGATGCACACTGGTTTTACACTGTATCTTCAGGGTGTCCGCGGGGTTTTAAAAAGTATTAAAAAGTGATTAATCAAAATTGCCAAATTTAAGGCCATTAAAAAGTGTTTAATTTGGTTTAGAGGTATTATTTTTTAAAAATAGGTATTATTTTTTCAGACTATGGTGTCCTATTCTGATTGAAATTCTATCTGCTAAAATTTGCGCTAGTTCGTTTAAATGTGGGCTTTAACATATCGGGGCACATAATCAAAGATCCTCGTCTAGTCTCAACTTTGTATGTTTGATGCGGACGTCATATTCAGTGGTCGTTCGACATCTCAAACACTTTGCGTGCTCAGCTCAACTGGATAGCAAACTGGCTAGCTTACATTTTTGACTAGTCCAGACAACCATCTTCGTCATGGGCAAATGCAAGTTTTCTGACAGCTGGATGGAAGACCCAGCATTTAAGGACTGGCTCAGGCCTGCAG